GCTAACTATCTCTTGTTAATGGATAATATAATTAGATATGTCATGAGTATTGTGTAAATATAGTTAACTATGTAACACGTATAGCTAACTATTTATTGTTAATAGACAGTATAGTTAGTTATGTCATGATTACTGTGTATATATAGTTATCTATGTAACATGTAACTATTTCTTGTTAATGGACAATATAATTAGCTATGTCATGTGAATTATGTAAAAAAAAGTTTTAAATAAAAGGAAAGTTTTTTATTTTTATTTTTAAATTATAAAAATCTGTATTAATTATAGAACGGCAAAACCGGAATTTAATCTAACATAAATACTAGTTACTACATTATGTTTTACATGGTGTTAGATAATTAATTATAGGTGGAGAGACTAAATATACATGCTAATTTCTCATAAAAGTTCATTAGAATTGTAAAAATATAAATAAACTCAAAATTGTTTATTTTCTATGTCATTAATTCTTTTGATATTGTCTAATTTTGTTTCTACTACATATATAGACCGTCTCAACATTTTCATTAAACATGCTCTTATATAATTGTACGAAAATCAGAATAGATTAAAATGGTTAAAGAATATCAATAAGAAGTTCAGTAAAAACAATAATTAAGAAGTTCACTAACCTTTTACTTTTTAAGAAATGGTTGAAAATAGGTCACTGTAAAAACTTTTCAAGTTGCTTACTGTCAATCGCACGTTTCATAATATTTCAGGTCTCTAGGGAATTCAAAACTATGTGAAAAAAGTAAATAGAAAAAGGTAGTGAAATACAAAGCAATTAAAATCATATGATGCAAATTTGTCAAAAACGATGATAAAGTTTTTAGCAAAAAATTAGAAAAGATAATAAAGAAAGAACGATTTACTTTCGATAAAAGTTTATGCGACCTAAAACAGAGGTAAAAACTAAAGAAAATTAGTTTGTTTTAGAGTGGAGAAGGATAGAGCAATGGCCAGAAATTAATGTTTTATACATCTAAAGAAAAAAGTAGTTAACTGGGATCCTATAGATCTTTGAAAAAAAAAAATAACCATAATAATTTAGTTTGTTTGCCATAATCCGCGATCGTACTGTATTATGTTTAAATTTTGTTTTGTTGCTAAAATAAGCTGATAATTTTTTAGAAAAGGTAAAAAGATCGTGGAGTTAAGGTCTCCCTCAATTAAGCGTTTAATTAATTTACTTTTTTTAGAAAAAATTTTAATTCATGTTTTTGCTGACATGTAATATTTTGATTGGTGGTCTGACTTGTGATTTAGTATATAAAGATATGAAAACAAACTATATGTTTTTCAATCGCAAGGAAAATTGTTACAACCCTAAATCCGCAGAGATCTCAATTCGCGATCGGTTCGTGATCAACCTCCTCCGCGAATCGTTCTCCTCCTCCGGCGAATCATTCTCTTCCTCCGGCGAAGTCTTCTCCTCCTCCGGTGAAGTCTTCTCTTACTCGAAGGTTAGATTTCAACTCCTCTTCCTTGATCGAAATCTCCACAGAAACCAATCGAATCTTTGATCGGCTTAAATCTATGATCGGAATCTCCACAAAAAAACTAGTTTAATCTTTGATCGGCTTGAAGTCTTTGGTTTATGGATCTTTGATCGGCTTGAAATCTTTGATCGGTTACAAGCTTGAAATCTCTACGTTCTTTGTGATTTTCCTTCTCGCTCCCGGAAAATTGTTCAGGATTCGTCGTATTTGTTGTGAGATTTTTCTCTTGAAGTAGTAACTCTGTAATTAGTTCAGGCTTGGCATAAAAATTCTGGGATTCTTCTACTCGAAATACTCTCTACTTAGCCCAAATTCCACAGAAACTGATGAATTTTTGATCTACTTGCTCCATGTTTGCTTCCACACCATGACTTTGATCTACTTGCTCCTGTCTTTCATTGCTTTACCATTGAGTTCTCTTGCTTAAGAAATGTCTTTTTGACTTTGGCAGAGACGATGCCTACTTTTCCTGATGTTACTTCCTCTCCCTCCACCAAGCAGCCTCCCCTTCCTCCAAAGGTCTTTAAACGATTTCAAGTCATATGTTCTTTAAACTCATGGTCTGTTACTGCTTCCATGTTTGTCATTTTCTTGTTATTTTTTTTTTGCAGGGTCTTTTGAAAATGTACTTTGGTGACCGATCCTTTGATCTTTATGACCCTTTTGGGTACGAAGACGTGAGGGATTACTTTGATGCTGAGTCAAGTTTTATGGCTGCTAACGGATACTCCCAGATTCTCAAGAACGAACGAACGCGACAAGTTGCTCTACATCTGATAATACAAGTTTGTGTCTATCCCATAATTCTGTATTGTGTTGAGGTTTCTGTTCTTAAAGAATTTTCACATGTTCTGCAGATAATGACAAGGGTGGAAATAGATGCGTTCGTCTCATACTTGGCGATGTGTTACTTTGACTGGATCAGCTCCAAAGATGGACTAATTGTACATATAATATATTATTTTATCCATGGCTCCACTAATTTTTGTTACTGTTGGTTATTAAAGTTCTTTGCAATTTATTATAGGATCAGAAAGGCTCACTGATTGAAGATGTTGAATTCATGGTTTTTGGATGCATATCTATTGCCTTAAAGAAGACACTGTCTCTTAATAGCTGGTCCCCAGACTTCAAAGCAGAGGCAAAAAAGCTGAATGTTGAGATGGAAATACGCCAATTTTTGGTAAATGCTATCTTTAACCTATTTAAGATTTATTTTCTGGTTATTTGAACTCTTTCTGATGGTGATCTTGCGACAGGCTAACCGTTCAAGCAACATAAAATACCTTAGGGGTTGGGATTTAAAGGCTGCTGTGAAGGTTGAAGATATGCTGGGTGGACTGATAAAGACAAATCCTGTAACGCCATTTTGTTTCATCAAATACTATCTCACTGTGCTTAAAGCAGATTGTGAGGTCGAGGGAGGAAAGGAATGTATAACAAAAATAATCCTTGATTTACAAGATGGTGAGGTTTGAATGTTTTCTGAATTGAGAACTGAGGAGGTGTAGTTTCTGATGATATTCTATGTTTTTGTTCTGTGGTATAGACATCAGATTGTGCGAGTACAAACCATCTTTCGTTTCGGCAGCTGCAGTGTTGGCTTACATGTTCAACAAATATCCAGATTGTGCAGATAAAAGCGAAGAGAAAGTCAAGAGTTTGGATTGTATCAAGGACAAGGTGAGTTATCAGTTTTGTGTGAGATTTCTTATGGTTTTGTGAAGAGAAAATCATAACTTGTGTTGTGTTGTTTCCGTGTGTAGGAAAGCTTTAGCCAATGCTTAGTGGTTGTTAAAGAAATCTTTGCTAAAAAGGCGATAGCATCTGATCCTTACAAAGGTGGACATTTGAAACTTAATTGGAAGATCGATGACGACATTGAAGAGACGATTCGCAGCCTAGACTATCTAGCTAGGATTTCTGCCCAGATCAGAGTAAGTGACATCCAAATGAGGCAACAAGCAGAACTGATACGGGGTTTTGCGGAGGAAGTCCTTTTTCTTGGAAAGGAAGGAAAGCGTCCTGAAGATGAAAAGGAGTTGAAGGAGGTGAAGGCGATGATAAAAACATGGGTGAGCCATTTCGAGTCTATGACAAGTCATATTGTGAAAATGATAAAGTCCAGGGAGCCAAGACTCGGTAGATTTGAAGGTCAGGAGTAAAGGCCACTGTTAAAAGTAATTTCTGAAGTATGAGTCTCTAAAACAGTTATACGATTGGTTTCAGCCGTGTTTAGAAGATGTTCTGATTGATATGAATTTTCATGTTTTAGTTCTCTAATCGATATTTCAGACTAAATTGGCATTTCAGATACTACCCATGTGATGATGATTCTTAGTTCTGACAAACAGTTTTCGAGCAAATACAGGAGATCCACAAGTCGATCCCGAGAATCGGGTATGAAGTCATGAAATGACAAACAAACCGAATAATCAGATTCAATAGACACTCGATGTACACTATAACTAGTGTGGTGCACATAATAAGTATGGGGTACACTATAGTAATATTAAAAGGACTTATTACACATAATAATTAGTTAAGATATATAAAAAAATGCAATATAACAACAAAGCAACTCAACACGGAAGCAAACATGGAGCAAGATAATCTAAAATTGTTACAAAAAACCAATATAACAAAGCAACTCAACACGGAAACAATTAATAAAAAATATATTTTATAAATCAAGGAAAGAAATATATTCCAAACCATGACATGTCTAAACACAACGGACAACAACAATAATTCTCTTACATTCACCCTTACCGATAGTATTTGAAAGAATGGATATAAAATCATGCATCACACTT